TCTGGTAGTGTGAAACTTTCAACCTCATCATGGAACTCTCTCACTCCATTTGTACCTTTGGTATTCACTGCATGTGCACTCACTGTGTAGATAAAGAAAGGAGCTGAATCTTCTTTCATATCACTGCTCTAAAATTAATTTTGGTGTCATCTTACTAAATGAGTATTTTCAGGCTATGATTAGAGCTGTTCAGAGGATAACAAGTCCAACAAAGAAATTTTATGGTTTTCAAATTATCCTACACGGAAAGATTATAAAACCTCTCAGATATTTTTGCTAAACAAAAGAATAAGGAAACATTTTTTCCTCTAGTCCTCAGATATCTCTTCTTTTTTTTTAACTCTTCTCTCTCCCTGATGAGACTTAAACCAGTGTCCATTCTGCTCTAGCCCTCAGAATTACTCAGTGAATGCAGTACAACACTACAAAACCTCATTTAATGTGATACATTTCAGAAATATTTTGGCTTTGACAGACCATTGTATTAAGACAAAATACAATGTAGTCAAAAGTATTCTAACCACTGTCCTGGTCATCTTCAGCTCTCAACAGTATCCAGACTCACTTGAGTAAATGCTGATTGGAATTTTTGTTTGCCTTCAGCTAAATCCCAAATTTAAAATTGCTAAGCCCAGCTCACTGCCATACAGCAATAGGAACTAGGTTTCTGAGGCTGAGACCCAGTATTAACACTTCCTTGTGGCTTATCTGCAAAGGGGTAATGAGCTGTTGGCCAGTCCCGCACTAGAGCTTTTCAGAAACAGTTATGAAAGTTTCAAACACAGGCTAGGTATAGATTTTACTGACAGTACACTCATAGAAAATTAATGAGCACTTAATGATTAATGGATACTTAATAAATGATTAACAGTTTATTGTGGAGTCCCAATAAGTCAGCTATGTGCTTACGACTCTCCTGAGGTGCTTAGAGACTCCTTGATAAATACTACTCATGTCTGTACGATCTCTGTGGGGCAAGTGTATGTAAACTCATTGAAGTTGTATCTGTAGTATAAAGTGTAGTCCAAAGCTTTTGAGTATCAATTTGATTTTTGAGCATGAGTATGTGATTTTTTTATCCATGTGTACATGTTTTACATCATCTCCCTTATATGTCTTTTAGCTGCTGTATAGCTTAGTGTGAGAGAAGAGCTTGAAAATCCTATATAGCATCTTTGGAAGGTTAAAAAAGGCCTCGTATATACAAATGCCAGCGAACAGAGAATTCTCTTGACATACCACAAAACTGAACCAAAACTGTGGCCACATGAGGCATCACTGTAGCATATTCAAGCTAACACTTGAGCTGCTGCTGCTGACGATTGCAGTTCATATGCAAAAGCATTTGTTTCCAGATTTTCAGGATTCACTTTCAACTTCCCATTTCACTTGACCACCAAGTTCATTTGTCACACAAATCTGCTCTTAAAATATTAGGTCCAGTTTGCAGAAAATCGCTTGGTGGAGAACTCAGACTTTTGCATCTCTAATTCTTTTCAGTCTTCACATTCCCATTCCTCTTGCAGGCAGTGCTAGTGTTGAAAACCCTCCTCTACTCTTTC